GGCGGATTCCTCTTGATCAGCTGTCGATTGGCTTTACTGGAACAGTCATAGTGACGCTGTTTCCGACGCAATCTCCTTCGAGTCCGATGAAAAGGTGATAAGCTTTCGTCCATCATATAACGAACATCATCAGAATAAGGTATCATCGTCACAACAAAATTCAAGCCAACATGCCAAGAAAATATAAAAGAATGTATAAATATAAATAAACACTTTTTTCAGTTGTTCCTTCGTTTAAAGAATATTCAGGCCTTCCTTTCAGATCAGGCTGTTGCAAGTGTTCGTGCTCATGTGGTAAGATCTGTGTGTGGGAGACCTGCCGACCCATTCACAAGAGACTATGCGCATACAAAACCGCTTGTCAAGGTTTGTGGTTCCAAAAATCTGAGCTCGTTGAACACATTTTGCCAATTGAGGGCACTCAAAAGACATGTCCAAAACACGACGCTTTGAAGGTTACGGAGACTTTACGTCAATCCGTAGATTAGACAGTCGCAAGAAATTAATGAAACAGCCAACGTCCTGAAAAGAAGGAATGAGTGCAGAAAAGTAAGTAGGAACTTATTGTTGCTGTTGGATAGACTTAAACAAAGAGACAGAGAGGGGGTTGAGGAAGAGTCACCGAATGAGAGAAGGAGGCTGGATCAGCCTCGTGTCCATCATACAGCACATGGCATGAGCATTACATACACACAATAGACAAGAGAACAAGCCCAAACATGATTCAGCATCAGGCGATCGTAGGCTAGTTTCTGTGTGATGAAACAGCTGATACCATTTGCAAGCATGTAGAGGAAGGTTGAAGTAGACCTGATTCAGGTCCGATGTTGGTTTAGTATATTTTTGCTCTATTTCGTAAAGTATGAAATCTTGCTCTGGTGCTGCCTGTCACAGCGGTACAGACGGAAGGTTAGCACAGTTTCATCAAGATCGCGGGAAGGTGAGATAAGGACTTCTTCACACTATTCATCAGTCGTCCCTACGCGACAATCTTTATTCGATTTCCAGTGAGACCACATCACAAATTCCTTCTAACCAACTTTACCTTCAAAATGAAGAAACATGCTACAAACAAGACAATCGCCTTGCGGCAAATTAAGCCTATCCGTTCTCATTTCCCATTGCGTTCAATTTATTATTTGGGATTGTATTATCAGAGCTCCACGTATCATTTTACTGTAGTAGGCCATAATGTAAGTATTGTTTGACATTTTCAAAGGACATAAATTAGATTAAATGGGCAGAGATACATCTTGGTATGAAGTTATTCTTTTAATAGCAATTGTAAATCTTTTGTCCCATTCCTGTTCACTTTCAGGTAGGCCATTTGGGCACTTTGATCATTGCTTCATTTTATTTCATTAGTCCATTTCATTCACTCTTTCCTACAAGTCAATCTCAACTATCGCTTGGCCAACTCCTCCTTACTGAAGAGTCAAATTATTACTGATACCTACAAAACAGACGTCTTTTCTTACCTTTCCCACAGATGATTAACGTCGTGTTGCCTGGACACTTCTTAATTTGTACTTTTTTAGAGCTCTTCGAGCACAACCACCAGAGATGCTGCAACCTATCGCGGCAAAACTGCTCTTGCAGTCAATGGTTTTGAACAGTCTCGAAAGATCAACTTTAAAGGCAAAATTGGGGATTCTAACATTTCACTCATCTCGAACGGATTCTAGCGCGTACAGAAAATGTGATTTAATCTCAGCACTATCCTTTGGGCAGGTAACTATTTGCGGTACTAAAGTCTGAAAAACTTTGAGATTAACTTCAAGTGACTAACATGGCATGACCAAAAAAGGTCAAAATCTATTTATGTTCTGCAAGTATCCGTTGAATAAATAAGAATTAACTGCCCTTACTAATGAAAAAATAGATTTAATACCATTATATTTTTCGAATCTTTGCTAAGCGGACGGTCAGCAAAGTCTAGGTGAGAATACATAGGTCTATATCAAAGAGCAGGTGATGCAAATTGCCAAAATGTGCTCAATAAAAAAAAGGATACTTCTAATTTTTTCCCTTTCTCTACCCATTGTTCCGGGTGTTCATCTCAGGGCTCATTGGCCACAGAAGTAAAACAAACCAGCCTAAAAAATGGCAACTCCATAAGACGAATCTGTATGAGTGTAATTTTGAATTATATTTATTTCATAAAAGACCAACAATGCACCCGTATCGCAAGGGTGTGTCTTAAAACAACAATATGATGAAGTATCTAATTTGCACTAACAGGTACTTATTTTGAAAACCTGAGCAGATTAACATATTCATTATCAACATCATAAAATTGATAAAGTGGTTTCTACAAAGTGGGTTTTAGTTGCTTAAGGTAAACAAAGATATGGAAGTTCGAGACTGTGTAGTCACTCTGATCCAATACACCTTCACTTAAGCAGAATTGCCTTCCTCCTTTATATCCATAGACCTAATAATTTAATAAATATGAGATTTACCGACCCTACCAGTCCTTTATCACCTTAAATGAAATAGGGTTAATACAATTCATCTATAAGATCTACTGGTAGTCTAGAAACCTGTTTATAAACGACAATCAACAACTTAATGCTTGCATCAGTTTTTGTAATTCTAAAACTTAGACTATGTACTTTAGTCAACTCAGGTCGCATAAGATAATTTTGGATATCAAATTTAATGTTTCAAATCATTTTCAAGCAATAATTATAGAGAGAAAATCCTGTAATAAATGGCTCCAATTAGATAATAGTTTCAGTATTATAACAGCGTTGGCTTAGAGACTATATATATATATATATATAT